GGGAGGAGAGAAACTTCGATTTGTTGTTCTTTTTATTCATGCATTCATTGGTTGATTCTTGTATGTGCCCTGACCGAGACAGAGCCCACCATCTTGGAGCATCACTGAAACCGAAAAGCCAGCGCTGCCTGTCATCTAACAGACCATTTAAGCAGAGACAAGGATTGGATCTTTACGGGTGCTTTACTCAGATGGCCAGGGATATTAGAAGATGGCAGGTTTGTACACTAACAAGACCGCCTTAAGTTCCATTTTAAAATGGCCCTTTTTCTAAGAACGAAGTGTAGGAAAGGGGTTTGGAATTCAGGGAAAAGTTAATTGGATTAAAAAAAACCCTGCAGCATTCTGGCTCTGAGTGGCTGCCTTTAAGCTGTGCCCCAGGCGGTGGCCATCTCACCCCGGAGTACAATGGCTCAGCCACCACCTTGATTGCTTGAGTCCTCCTGAGGCACAAAGGTGGAACTTCTCACGGTCCCCTGGAGTCAAGGTGGGTCATACCTTCAGTTCCTGAAACAGTATCTTTTTACATACATTGATGACTAAGCTTAGTAGCTACTACCTAAAACTAACGTGTTTCTGACATTCGAGCCCCCATTATCAGCATGATGCTCTAACCAGCTGAGCTACCCAGTCAGGACTTCTTATCTGTTTCCTAAAGGCAGGATTTTAGGGGGGAAGGTTTAGGGGAGGATCTCAATATTCATAAGTCTTATGCTGATTTGCCAAAATGAGATTTATTTCCCTGATTTCATGACTCCTTGGGTGTGGTTGGCACAAATGGCACTAATTGGATTTCTGTTATCTATCACTCTGAGTAGGGCAATTTAAGCTATTTACCCTCTGGTTGGGGAGGAGAAATGTAAACCATTTACTATTAAGTGTCCTTGCTTAAGGAAGATAGGATATTTCGATTTACTAGACGGCTGTAAACTGCTCGGCCATTTCAGTTTCCCTATTCCATTTGTCCTGGCTTACTAACTTATCTCAGTATTCTGTTTTATACCTATTTACTTCTGCGAGGTTAAATTATTTTAGTATTTGTACCAGAGTCATATTTTACACAAATATTGTGTTCTAAAAGTTAAGTACTAAGGCAAAAGACAATACTTTGTTCTATTCCATACCATTCTTTTTTTTTTTAAATGCTGATTACCCTGTAAATTGATCTCACAATCCACTAATGGATCATAACCCATAGTTTGAAAACATTGTCTTAAATCATTCATAAAATATTAATAGTATTTTCTGTAGCTGATATTGTCAGTTCCTCTAACTCTCTATCAGTGTTTCTCTGTGGATCATAATTAATTCTGCAGTTTATTTCTTGAAGGCAAAGCCATTCCAACCCACTTTGTAAGACCTTCTGAACAACGTTTTGCCTTGCCTGGGATATATAGGGCATAGTAGAGTTGAATCACCTTTCTCTTTTTCCTTGAGCATTTGCAATCAGATTTGCATAAATTCAACCTAACTATAATTTCAATCTACTGAACTAGCTTCTTCTAATTCCAAATCTAGAAATAGTATGTTTATATCCTTTGTATAATCTGTTGCGTACATCTAAGTTTTTCTTATACATTTTGTATAAGCTTCACATATTATATACCATCACTATGAAGAGATCGAATACATAAAAACAGACAATAGCCAGACCATGTATGATGATAGAATTCTGTTCCACACACAACTCCTGAACCAACTGGCCCAGAATGGTCAGGACTTGACCAGTGACTGTCAGTTTCTCTATTTCTTTGCTCCTTCTCCCCAATATCCAACTCAGGACCAACCAGAAAAAGCCAAATATGCTCTCCAAACTTATCACACAAGCTGCCCTGTTTCTAGTTAGCCCGCCTCCAGCTTCTCTGTGCTAAAGATCTTGAATCAGAGCAAATCTAAAAGCTATTTTTTCCACCACAAGGTTTTCCCACCCCTGACAGTCTTTTGAATCACTGCCAAAAGCATGTGATGGTGGTGCCTCCCTTGCTCAGCAAGCTCTGAATTCTTATTCGGGCAGGTGTGCATTTCCACAGTACATTTGTTACAAATTCTTTTCACATTTGGTTGTTTATCTCCAATTTTTTTTATGATGTTATGATTTTGTTTATGATGCTTTTTAACATGTATTCTAAAATTTTATGTAATCAGATCTACTTAACCTTTTGGTTTTTGAGACTTTCCATTGCTCTTTTGCTTGGCACAACTTTCTAAAAAGATGGTGGGATGAACTTGTCACAGGTGGGCACAGGTAACCAGGTTCTTGGTGATCGTGGACAAAAAATTGAACAGAACACAGAGTTTACAGCAGAAAGCGAGAGAAAGCAGATTTATTATGCTACACAGAACATGGGAGCAGACCAGTTGCAAACAGACTAGAGAACTGAGCAGAGCCTAAGAGACCCTGGCCTCAGGGGCTAGAAGGCTTTTATTCTTTTTGGGTGGGCTTTTACTGCGCAAGTGGTCTCCCATGATTTCCTTGACTGGCCACCGGGAAGGGAGTTCCACAATGCTAATTTATTATAATGATATTGTTACGGAAAGCCAGACTCAAGACACGATTCAGGGAACGGAGTAAGCCTTTATTCACACGCGCGGGCTCAGAGGAGGCAGTCTCCAAATTCTGAGGCCCGAATCGGGGTTAGATAGGGGTTTATAAGCCCTAGCATTCTGGCGGGAAACGGATGGGCTTCCCAGGTGGGGGAAGGGATTAGCATTCAGGTGGGAGATTGATGAGATTGATGTGCTACCCAGGCGAGGGAAGGGATGTGAAAACGGGCTACAGGAACAGATAAGCAATGATTAACAGTTAACCTGGGAGGGGTCTCTGGCTAGGCTGCTCCTCTTAAGTCATCTTGCCCTTATCAATATTATAATTAAGCTGGGGCCAGGTAACATCTGCTCAGGTGCGTTCCTGACTCACTAGGATTCAGTGCTTTTCCAGAAAGCAGGAACTACTAGTCTTAGAACAGACTCTTCGCCCTTTATCCATGTTCTTTATCTTAGCCCTGGGGCACCTCTGGAGTTTCCTCCTTCCTTACTATCTCCTGCCTCAAATTCATACACTAGTTAATGCTCCTCCCTCAACCCCAATAAGAGACAACAAGTCGCGGGGTGGGGGGGGGGGCGGGGGGGGGGAATTAACCTCCAAGAAAAGGGCAAAGAGAACAAGTGAAAACCCTTTTCCCATCCATTTAATTCTTTTTCCTTGCTTTCCCCTATAGAATAGGGACAGCCTGGATTATATTTTCAGGTCAGGAGATTGGCTGTATCTTGCCCGAATAATAATAATAGCAACAATAGCTAATATTTATTTAGTACTTACTATGTACCAGATATTGTCTTATATACATTCACTCATTTAATTCTCATATTAACTCTATGAGGTAGACATTAGTATTATCAGCATTTTACAAATAAAGAAACTAAGACCCAGAGAGGTTAAAATATTAGTAAATGAGTGGTAGACCCTGCATTTAATAGTCAGGCCTCAGTCTCTACTCTTAATAATTGCCTTACTGTCTCTTTTTTAGGAAAGACCTAAAGATACTGACACAAAGAGTTTCCCACAAAACAGCCCCTCCAGATCATCCTACAATGAAGCCCCCAGTTGAAAAGCTCCCCTCACACAGAGTTTACAACTTCTTTCATAATTTAAATATTTTATTGTTTATACTATTACAGTTGTCCCAATTTTTACCCCTTTGCCCCCTTCCACCCCGCCCAACCCAAATTCCACCGTCAATCCCCACACCATTGTCCATGGGTCATGCATATATGTTCTTTGACTTAACCCTTCACCTTTTTTCAACCAGTCCTCACCTTCCCCCTTCCCTCTTACAGCTGTCAGTCTGTCCTATGTTTCTATGCCTCTGGTTCTGTTTTGCTCGTTAGTTTATTTTATTCATCAGATTCCTCTTATAAGTGAGATCATATGTTATTTGACTTTTCCCTACTGACTTATTTTACTTAGCGTAATAGTCTCCAGTTCCATCCATGCTGTCGCAAAAAGTAAGAATTCCTTCTTTTTTCACTGCTGCTTAGTATTCCACTGTGTAAATGTACCACAGTGTTTTATCCACTCATCTACTGATGGGCACTTAGGCTGTTTCCAAATCTTGGCTATTGTAAATATCGCTGCTATGAACATAGGGGTGCATACATTCTTTTGAATTTGTGTTTCGGGATTCTTTGGATATATTCTCAGCAGTGGAATTGCTGGGTCAAAAGGTAGTTCCAGTTTTAATTTTCTGAGGAAATTCCATACTGTTTTCCACAGTGGCTGCACCAGTCTACATTCCCACCAACAGTGCACTACGGTTCCTTTTTCTCCACATTCTTGCCAGCACTTGTTTGTTGATTTATTAATGACAGCCATTTTGGTATGTATGAGGTGATATCTCACTGTGGTTTTAATTTACATCTCTCTGATGGCTAGTGATGTTGAGCATCCTTTCATATGTCTATGGGCTTCTGTATGTGTTTCTTGGAGAAGTGTCTGTTCAGGTCCTTCGCCAATTTTTGAATTGGATTGTTTGTTTCCCTGGTGTTGAGTTGTATAAGTTCTTTATATATTTTGGAGATTAAACCCTTTTTCAGTGTATCATTGGCAAATATGTTCTCCTATACAGTGAGCTCCCTTTTCATTTTGATAATGGTTTCTTTAGCTGTGCAAAAGCTTTTTAATTTGATGTAGTCCTGTTCGGTTTTTTTCCCTTCGTTTCTTTTAAATTTATTTTTTTAAGGTTTTATTTATTTATTTTTAGAGAGAGGATATGGGAGGGAGAATGAGAGGAAAAGAAACATCGATGCGAGAGAGAAATACCTATCAGTTGCCTCCCGTACGCTCCTGGGCCAGGGATTGTTTGCGTTCAGACCTGAAATCAAACCTGCAACCTAGGTATATGCCCTTATCAGGAATCAAACCTGCCACCTTTTGGTTACAGGACAATGCTCCAACCAACTAAACCACACCAGCCAGGGCCTAGTTTCTTTTTTTTTTGTTTTTAAATATGGAATTTTTCATGAATTTGTGTGTCATCCTTGTGCAGGGGCCATGCTAATCTTTTCTGTATGGTTCCGGTTTTTAGTGTATGTGCTGCCAAAGAGAGCACTTAAATGTTAGTTCTGTTCCATTGCTTTGTTTTCTTCTTCAGGGACTCCAATTATATAAATGAACTGCTTTTTACATGTATTTTATTTTCCCCTTCCCCTTTTTTCTTCTTTCTTTATTTTCATTTTTATAGTTGTTTTCCTGCCTTCCATTCCAGCTAAGCTCTCACCTTGAGTTTACTTTTTTCTCTGTCTTTTTAAAAATAGGTTTTTATAAATAATACATTCAAAGGTTTTGACCCACTACATAAAGAAACCCACATTAAAGAAAAATATACAGCCCTGGCCAGGTAGCTCAGTTGGTTAGGGTGCCCTCCCCATGTGCCGGGGTTGTGGGTTGGGTTCCCTGTCAGGTCACATAGAATAAACCAAAGAATATATCCATAAGTGTATATCAATTAATCAATATATCAATTGCTGTTTCTCACTTTCACTCGCTCTAAAAATCAATAAATTTAAAAAGAGAAAACTATACAAATTTTGGCAAGAGTTTAAATTCTGAGAAATTCAAGCCTGATGCCAACCCTTTGCATTTCTATACCTTCAGTTCCAAACGACCATTGGGTAACAGTTTTAGGGCACAAAACTCCACTATCCTGTACAGTTCCTTTTCTCCTGGATCAAACAGCGTTATGCTGCTTAATAAACCCTTTCTTTGCCCCTTGATGGGTCTTAGAATCCAGTTTCTAGGTTTTTGGATTTCCTTTAGTAGGAAGCTTCAAAATCATTTCCTGGGGTCCGTGCAGGTGAAAAGAAATGGTGAGTCAGATTCTTGACTCATGTCTGGAATTTTTTTTTTTTTTTGAAGCTTCCTTAACCCCTCCCCCCACACCTCTAGCCAAGCTGAGTTGGGAGTTAGGTCCCTTTCTTTGTGTATCCTTCTGTTTATATGATAATAATTATGGTTGGATTTTCTTTTTTTTCCTCTTTTTTTTGTTCTTTTTTTGCTTCATTTTATTTTCTTTATTAAGCTGGGTTTTCTTTTCTCAGCCTCTTCTAGTAGACTTCAGGATCTTTCCATTTTTGTTTGCTGCTTGCTCCTCTTTTCTCAATAAACTGGTTTGCTATTACTCTCTGTATAAGCCCATAATTTCCCATCTCATATTACTCCCTCTCCTTGGAATATTCTTTTCAACCATCTAAGTAGGAAGACTTCCTTTTTCTCTCTTTTCTTAAGCATAGCATCTAATGACGTTTAAAAAGACCTATGCACCCGTGTGACCGCCCCCCAGGTCCTGTTCCAGCATCGCAGATGCCCCTTCAGACCTCTGTTAGTCAATACTTCCTCCCCTCAGTCAGTACTGCCCCATCAAAGGTAGCTGCTTTTCTGACAGCTATCCTTGTTAGTATTGCCCTTTCTTGGTATTCATATCTATGAAATCACAGAGTATATAATCTTTTGTGTATGGCTTTTTTTTTTAATTATTTTATTTATTTTATTTATTTATTTTTACAGAGAAAGGGAGGGAGGAAGAGAGGGAGAGAAACATAGATGTGTAAGAGATATATCAATCTGATCAGTTTCACAAGCCCCCAGCTGGGGACCTGGCCCACAACCCAAGCATGTGCCTTGACTGGGAATCGAACTGGTGGCCTTCCAGTTCACAGGCCAGCGCTCAATCCACTGAGCAACACCAGCCAGGATGTGTCTGGCTTCTTTCATTCAATATTATGTACAAGATTCAACAAGTATAGCACTGTATAGATTTCATGTTTTATTTTATTGCTGACAACAAGTATTGCCTAAGCAACTGTTACGTGCTGTGCTTTAATGACAACAATCTTGAACAACAAGGACTGTGGCTAATTGTGTGTTCTTTTGATGCCCAACATGGTCAGCATTCTATACACAGGAAAAATATAAAACTAGACAATGGGAATGCTTCTAATCATCCCCTTCAGAGGCTTGCAGGAGTTATGCATTATAGCCATTAGGATGGTGCCCAGGACGGAGGCGAGACTGTCTTTAATGTAAAGCAGTGTTTGAAAACTTTTGCAACAGAATCACCGGAAAGACTTTATAAAACACAGTTTGGGGAGGGAGCCCAATCCCAAAAATTTCTCGTTCAGGAGGCCTTAGGTCTTGCATTTCTAATAAGTTCCCAGGGTTTGCTGATGCTGAAGGTCTAGGGACCACAACTGGAAAACCACTGCTTCAAGGTGCCAGGTTTACAGAACTTGATGCCGTTCTCTCACAGACCCCTCACTACCACCCTCATCATTCGCAGCCCATAGCTCCTGCATCTCCTCCAGGAAAGACTGAGGCCAGCTCAGGTCACTTCTTCTTGTGCCAGGCACCTGTGTTCAAGATCTCTCAGTAGATGTTTCTGGGTGCTGAACCGGCATAGAGGAAGCCAGGCTCAGGAGAGCAATGTAGTCACTTATGTTGCTTTTTCATGTTGTCAACCACACAGTCATCTTCAAAATTGTTCAGGAAGAACATTTGGTTCAGGTCAACATTTAGCTTGAGAAATCCTTGGTGACCACACCTGGCTGGACATCCAGGATGCCCTTGCAGTTAGGGCTAGAGGGCAGCAGAACCTTCCAGTGACTTTACATTCTGGAATTTACCAGACAAATGGGACAAAAGGCTGCTGAAGGACAAACCAGAGAATTCAGTGACTTCAGCGACCTGGGAGTGTGTGCCAAGTGACATGATGTTCTTTGTGGCATCACAGTCCAGTTCACCCTTCTCTTCCCGGTCCTCTGTCTACCTTTGCTGCTCCTGCCCAAAGACTCTCCTCTCCAAGAGTTGATTCTCCTGGTGAAAAGACAGCCTCCTCAGTGTGGTTTCCAGGTCTTGGGATCCAGATGTGCCTGGGATTCGCTGCTTCTTTTTCCCCCCTCTTTCTGTTTGTATTAGATTCTCTGCTTCACCCTGACGGGTATGGCTCAGTTGCTTGGGCATCATCCTGCGAGTCAGAAGGTCACCAGTTTGATTCCCAGTCAGGGCACATGCTTGGGTTGCAGGTTTGGTCTGCAGTCAGGTTGTGTACACATTGATGTTTCTCTCCCTCTCTAAAAATAAATAAATGAAATCTTCAAAAATTAAAAAAGCAAAAGACTTTCTGCTTCATTTTTTTTGGTATTCACTAACCAGATGGGAAGACTTGTTTTTAGGGTGCTCCTCTTGTCAATGATGACAACATTGTCAATGCCACTCCCGTGGAAGCTGGATGGGAGGTACTGATGCTGCCGCTCTGGACATGAGGGGACTCCCAGCCGAGGGCTGCGTGGAGCCTGGGAGGTTCAGGATGAAGGGGACAGCGCCTGCCGCTTGCTGACTTAGCTGATGTTCCTCACAGTCTCGTAGAGGTGCCTCTGGTGGGTTTTGTCTGGAGATTCTACTTCTTCCAACTGCAGTTACTTGTTTTGTTGCCACATTGCTCATAAGCAACAGGTCCAGCAAAGGCTGAGATGTTTAACATGGTCTGTTTGGGAGGTTTTCATTTTTTCTTGGGTCACATGAAAAATCTCCATACACTCTACACTTTACACACTTGTCCTCGAGCTACATAGCTTGCCTGTCACTGGGCACCTCGAAGACGCCCTTAGAGCTGGATGAATTGTACTGTAACAAATTAGGAAGGAGCTAATTCCAGAAAATACTTAAAGTGGAGGACTCTTTCAATCCACAAACCAAAATTCTTTTGTTTTTTAATAAAAATGAGATGGCTCTTAAAGTTGGCTGAGTGTCTGGATTTTGGAGAATTATGATTTCACAGGCCTGAAAAAGATTTGTGCAAACTAAGCCCTGCAGCTGGACTATTAGACTGGGGAAACTAGCCCGGCAGTGCACAGTGCCACCCAGTGGTTAGCTTGCATCAGAAAAGTCTTCAGAAAAGTGTGTGACAGCAGAGAGGGGCTGGACCACAACAAGCAGGCAGATAAAAACCTGCGGAATGGTCTGTAACAGCGATTTTCAACCTTTTTTCATTTCATGGCACACATAAACTAATTACTAAAATTCTGAGGCACACCAAAAAATATATTGTGGTGTTTTGGGTTTTTTTGCTGATCCGACAAAAAATAGGTATGAACGTATAAATTCGATTGATTTACCTCCCCCCAAAATATATATGTATATATGTATTGCCTACCCCTTTTGCTCCGAAGTGACTTTAAAAAAAAATCTTGTGCCCATAGTTGTATATAAGGATTTCTAGTATCAAGAAAAACTAACCAGATGCAACCTTAGTATGAGACGTGACCAATGAGATGCAACTCCATTATATGACCTATAGATTTATGGTTCAAGACAGGACATTCACATTGGACAGCTATTGTTGTGTTGACTGTTGTTAGGTTTTTATTTGACAATCTAAGGGAAAAGAGGTCAGTGCCTCTGACTAAGCAGTCAGGTATTGTATGTTTTAAAAATTCTTGAGGCACACCAGTGTTTCATGGCACACCAGTTAAAAACTGCTGATCTATAATAAAGTCCAGTGGCAACTGCTACACATTTACATCCCCTCTCTCTCTCTCTCTTTTTTTTTTTTTTTTTTTTTTTGAGAACTTGCCTCTCTTAGCTTACAGTTTCCTCTTCTGAACAATAGAGTAACCAAATGAACCTGAGGTTCCCTTTCTGGATTGTGTTTCTTTGTATGGACCGAAATCCCCTCCTAAAGCTTTCCTGACACTTCCTCTTTCTGTAAATGCAAGTAAAGAAGAAAATAAAACAAAAAGCTTTATTTGAAAATGAAAATTCTGTTCTTAGTTAATTCATGCTTTTGGAGAGTGCATTTGGCAGAAGAGTAAGTTGCACAGGGACTGCATAATGAGGCTCTAAAACAAGCAGTGTGCTTAGGAAACAATATGAGAACATTTTTTTTTTTCCTGCTTCTCCCCCTGAGTTGGGAAACCCACAGTACAGAATGTTGGGAAACTGGAAGGAGAAGCATGGCTCTGTCACCCAGCACTGGGAGCGGACTACCACGCGCTACAGCTCCTAGTTTGTGCTGTCTCACACCTCACTCAGGGGTTATCTTCTGCAGCTGGTGAT